CACCAACAGTGACCACGTGTACAAATCGCGGGGCAGTACCCACCGGTCCAGGAATGGTAGCACACAATTGCCAATCACTACCACCGCTATTGAATACCACATGACTATTACGGGAACGGGTGTTAACTTAAGTTTGCGCAGATTTATCAGGGAATAGGCCGACGTGATGGCCGCCCCTATGGACAGGGCTATGCCTATTAGCCGGTGCTCGTAGTGGTGTTTGTGGTGATGATTGTTGTGGCCGAACAAGAATTCCGGTCGGCATATAATAAATACCCCGATGATTGTGATCGTACCGGTGGTCACGTGTACAACAGTTATGCGCTCTTTGAGTATAAAGTAGGCAAATATAGTGACAAATACAGGCGATGACATGTATAGAGTCATGGCGTCCGACAGTGGCATTAGCCTGAATGCCATGTATAGGGTGACCAACGACGCGGTTCCCGATACACACCGCAGGAACAGATCTAAACGACTTCCCGGTAGACCAAAAAATGAGTACCTTTTGGCGATTGTTATGATGAAATAGGGGATGAATTGAAACACGCATCTAAATGTTATAATGTTAAAATTAATAAATTAATATGGATGGTAAGAATTTTTTTTAATAAAGATAACTTACCTAAATATAAGTATTTCAACGGCAGGTAAATGTTTTAATAATTTAACAATAAGTGACGCCACAGAAAACATTGTAACTCCTATTTATACAGATTGATAATAATGAGTTATATTTAATCAAATCAAATTAGATCATGATCAAATAATACCTAATAGAGCGCATAGTATACCAAAAGCCGGTACCCTCTCAGGTATGGCTGCTATAAACCGGTGAATGGGATTCAGTGGTGAAGAATTAACCGCATTTTCCGGGCTGTCATCACTGGCCTCCACATTAATAACAGGATCCGAGCTTTTTGTTATGTCATTCATTGTAATATTATTATTAATAAAAGTATAAAATGTAATTAAGGTAAAAAACAATAAACAGTAGAATTGTGCATGATAAAAATGTGTGCTCACTTTAAATAGTTGTATGGTATCTCTCGTGCCATCACTTTGTTATTGAGTTACAACTTTATGTTGTTTGATAATAATTAAACTTATATCTCAGTCTTGATTAATCTTCCCACTGTTTAAACTGTTATGCAGTATACCTAGTGGAAAAAATATTGGTAAATTAATTGGCAATATTTTAAGTTTACTGATAATACTGATTTTTTCTAAGAATTTGTGAATTTTTCACCAGGCCACATATTCGAATCCAGTTTGAACTGCACTGTTTATCATTTTAATATAATAGATTAATATAAATATCATAACATGGTTTATTATTATGGATTTTATTATACCGTTGTTCATAATATAATTATTAAGAATTAAATCCACATGGTTTAAAAGCATTGACCATGGCAAAATACTGCTTTGTTTATAAATACTAAATAAGTCTTAAAATAATAACTTATGAGTCAATATACCTTGTTTACATGAAATGATTAATAATTATACAGATATAGACAAAATTAGTAATGGGCGTCCCCCTGGCGGCGTTCAATTAAAATTTTTTATTTAATTTTCATACAGTGTACTGTATAAATTATATATCGATTAGGCCCCACACAATGTATCAAACTGAACAAGGTTAATGAAA